TATAGTAACCATGTGACCTGTATAATAATAATAATATAGTAATCATGTGACCTGTATAATAATAATAATAATAATATAGTAATCATGTGACCTGTATAATAATAATAATATAGTCACCATGTGACCTGTATAATAATAATAATAATATAGTATCCATGTGACCTGTATAATAATAATAATAATAATATAGTAATCATGTGACCTGTATAATAATAATAATAATAATAATAATATAGTAACCATGTGACCTGTATAATAATAATATAGTCACCATATGACCTGTATAATAATAATAATAATAATATAGTAATCATGTGACCTGTATAATAATAATAATAATAATATAGTAATCATGTGACCTGTATAATAATAATAATAATAATAATATAGTAATCATGTGACCTGTATAATAATAATAATAATAATATAGTCCCTATGTAGAAAGCTGGGTGCTGCAGAAGAAGGGGCGGGGCTAAGTCATGTGATCGTCCTCCCCGGTATTTTGGCCGCTCTCGCTCCCCGTACTCAAACCGGAACTTCCTGGAGGAGTGGGAGTCAGCCACATGAGAACAACAGAGCCCACTCACCGGGACTGAGTGTGAGTGTGACCTCAGCATACCCAGAATGCACCTCACTGACTGTACCCACTGATACCCAGAATGCACCTCACTGACTGCACCCACTGATACCCAGAATGCACCTCACTGACTGCACCCACTGATACCCAGAATGCACCTCACTGACTGTACCCACTGATACCCAGAATGCACCTCACTGACTGTACCCACTGACACCCAGAATGCACCTCACTGACTGCACCCACTGATACCCAGAATGCACCTCACTGACTGCACCCACTGATACCCAGAATGCACCTCACTGACTGACTGCACCCACTGATAGCCAGAATGCACCTCACTGACTGCACCCACTGATAGCCAGAATGCACCTCACTGACTGCACCCACTGATACCCAGAATGCACCTCACTGACTGCACCCACTGACACCCAGAATGCACCTCACTGACTGCACCCACTGACACCCAGAATGCACCTCACTGACTGCACCCACTGATACCCAGAATGCACCTCACTGACTGTACCCACTGACACCCAGAATGCACCTCACTGACTGCACCCACTGACACCCAGAATGCACCCACTGACTGCACCCACTGATACCCAGAATGCACCTCACTGACTGCACCCACTGATGCAGAATGCACCTCACTGAAGGCTGCACCCACTGGCACCCCAGAATGCACCTCACTGGCTGCACCCACTGACACCCAGAATGCACCTCACTGACTGCACCACTGACACCCAGAATGCACCTCACTGAGCTGCACCCGCAGAATTACCCAGAATGCACCTCACTGACTGTACCCACTGACACCCAGAATGCACCTCACTGACTGCACCCACTGATACCCAGAATGCACCCACTGACTGCACCCACGATACCCAAATGCACCTCACTGACTGTACCCACTGGTACCCAGAATGCACCCACTGACTGCACCCACTGATACCCAGAATGCACCTCACTGACTGTACCCACTGACACCCAGAATGCACCTCACTGACTGCACCCACTGATACCCAGAATGCACCCACTGACTGCACCCACTGATACCCAGAATGCACCTCACTGACTGCACCCACTGATACCCAGAATGCACCTCACTGACTGCACCCACTGATACCCAGAATGCACCCACTGGTACCCCGAATGCACCTCACTGACTGTACCCACTGATACCCCGAATGCACCTCACTGACTGTACCCACTGATACCCCGAATGCACCTCACTGACTGTACCCACTGACACCCAGAATGCACCTCACTGACTGTACCCACTGACACCCAGAATGCACCTCACTGACTGTACCCACTGACACCCAGAATGCACCTCACTGACTGCACCCACTGATACCCAGAATGCACCTCACTGACTGTACCCACTGATACCCAGAATGCACCTGCTGTTGCCACTGATACCGTGGGAATGCACTGCCTGCTGAGCTGCACCCACTTTGATACCCAGGATACTCACTTATTTGTACCCACTGATACCCAGAATGCACCCACTGACTGCACCCACTGATACCCAGAATGCACCTCACTGACTGTACCCACTGACACCCAGAATGCACCTCACTGACTGCACCCACTGATACCCAGAATGCACCCACTGACTGCACCCACTGATACCCAGAATGCACCTCACTGACTGCACCCACTGATACCCAGAATGCACCTCACTGACTGCACCCACTGATACCCAGAATGCACCCACTGGTACCCCGAATGCACCTCACTGACTGTACCCACTGATACCCCGAATGCACCTCACTGACTGTACCCACTGATACCCCGAATGCACCTCACTGACTGTACCCACTGACACCCAGAATGCACCTCACTGACTGTACCCACTGACACCCAGAATGCACCTCACTGACTGCACCCACTGATACCCAGAATGCACCCACTGACTGCACCCACTGATACCCAGAATGCACCTCACTGACTGTACCCACTGACACCCAGAATGCACCTCACTGACTGCACCCACTGATACCCAGAATGCACCCACTGACTGCACCCACTGATACCCAGAATGCACCTCACTGACTGCACCCACTGATACCCAGAATGCACCTCACTGACTGCACCCACTGATACCCAGAATGCACCTCACTGACTGTACCCACTGACACCCAGAATGCACCTCACTGACTGTACCCACTGACACCCAGAATGCACCTCACTGACTGCACCCACTGATACCCAGAATGCACCTCACTGACTGTACCCACTGACACCCAGAATGCACCTCACTGACTGCACCCACTGACACCCAGAATGCACCTCACTGACTGCACCCACTAGATACACCCAGAATGCACCTCACTGACTGTACCTACTGATACAGCCAGAATGCACCTCTACTGACTGTACCCACTGATACACCCAGAATGCACCTCACTGACTGTACCTTACTCGATACCTATGAATGCACTCACTGATTGTACCTTACTGATAGCTGTGAATGCACCTACTGACTGTAACCACTGATAGCCAGAATGCACCTCACTGACTGCACCCACTGATACCCAGAATGCACCTCACTGACTGCACCCACTGATACCCAGAATGCACCTCACTGACTGCACCCACTGATACCCAGAATGCACCTCACTGACTGCACCCACTGATACCCAGAATGCACCTCACTGACTGTACCCACTGATACCCAGAATGCACCTCACTGACTGTACCCACTGATAGCCAGAATGCACCTCACTGACTGTACCCACTGATAGCCAGAATGCACCTCACTGACTGTACCCACTGATAGCCAGAATGCACCTCACTGACTGTACCCACTGATAGCCAGAATGCACCTCACTGACTGTACCCACTGATACCCAGAATGCACCTCACTGACTGTACCCACTGATACCCAGAATGCACCTCACTGACTGTACCCACTGACACCCAGAATGCACCTCACTGACTGTACCCACTGACACCCAGAATGCACCTCACTGACTGTACCCACTGATGCCCAGAATGCACCTCACTGACTGCACCCACTGATACCCAGAATGCACCTTGTAGCAGATAGCACTGGGCTGTCCTGGAAATGTCATGTGTTTTAATGTATTCGCTTAAATTGCAATGTTATATGTGGAAATATATATTGTATTCGTCTGATTGTTCGGTAGAATCATTCTAGCAATTATGGGAATGAAACTACCGAACAGTCAGACCTCCTCAGTGTGAAGTGTGCCTTCAATTACCAGTTGCAACAATGTTGCGAACTGGTAATTGACAAGCTGTGCAGTTGGTCCTTTGTTCTCGGGGTGGCTGCCATTTGAGAAACGAACACGTGGCGGCGGCCATTTTAAAACTCACGAACAGCAGTGTTTTGCCGTCGAGTGTCTGGAACCCAAATCGGACACTCGGCTAGGCAAACACCGCTGAGACCTCCATACTTACTGTATGTTTGCTTCCAAACTACTCAACGGCCCCTCGTTCGGTAGAAAGAAACAACCAAACGAGGGGA